CTCGGTTGCTACATCTGGTGTGGAATTGACCCAGCTAGCCATGTATAAATACCATTACAATGCAATGACAGTATAACTCGCATCTGATGACTATTACCCTGATTCAGCGCTCGACAATGCTGCACTTAAGACTTTGCGAGATGCTGGAAGCGCTTACGTGTGAAGTCATATCAACAATTTCGTTTAGGTGTTGCCGTGCTTTTGCAAATTTTTTGATTTTTCTTCTAAAGTGTTGCATACTGTTTTTCATTTAACACGACCGGCTGCTTCTAGTGGGGGAGGTTCATCACGTGCAGCTCGTTTCAAATCGTGTTCAACCAACATTGCTTCGGCCGGCCGCGAGATCTTTTTCGTTTACTATCATCAATTTGTAAAAGTAGCCATACCATCAACTTTGTTCTAGCATTTTGCCGCGATGAGAGCAACTCCGAAATAGCCACATTCGTGACCAGTTTCTTCTTGTAAGGACAACCATCCATCTTATCTTACGTGTCTACATCGTGTTCAAAATCTGCTTGTGCTTCTTAGTCGCTGGCCAACTTTGCACCGCACAGGGTAATCAATCTAACACTGTCTGATAAACTTTTGATTTGATTTGCCTGGAAATCGACAATCGCAGAGTACTGCTAATACTTAACGCTTCGAGTCAATCCGCGTTCGTTCCACCAAGGGCGTCAGTGATCGTTTCGCAATCCGACGTTATTCGCCCAGGCGTTTGATGATTATGACATTCTTTGCTGGAGGTCTGATGCTGATTGTTCCGTCGGTTCCCCGCATCCCAGGTGCTCAGTCTTTCCACGTTCGCAAGCCACACTTTGATAGACGGCTCTTCCGTTCCGTGGTTGCCCCTCGAGCTCCTGCGTCGATCCGCGTATACTCGAAGTCGTATACGTAGAGGTGGGGACAGCTGAATATGTCCTCCCTCACCCTGTCCTTGCATGAAAAAGCGCAGCGATAAAGCATCCTTGATGTACACTCACTTGACTGAGAATAGCATCAATGTTCTCAATGCAGAGCGTACGGTTCCCGTCGTGTTCGCATAAGAGAGTTTGATCTTGCGGACGTGCTCTTCTGGGGCTTCATGTTGTCTCAGGTGCATCCCGAATTAACCTGTATAGTTTTCAGTCAAATGTATTTTCCAAGCACAAGAATGCAAAGTGACATGGATTCCGTTCCTCCTATTTGCGCTTCATTGATAGTCTTAAGGCACGAATGGCGTAAATGCTAACGATCTTTTTACGAAACAACCTTGATTCGGAACTTGGACGATTTTTCAAATGCGCGTGTCGGTGACTCGCTCAAGAATCTTTTTCGTGTGACGTGAGAGGCGTATCGGCCAGTATGTTAAACAGTCACTAACGTTGCCACTGTCCTTCCTTATAGGGACGACTTTCTTTGACCAAATTGCTGGTCTTCCTTCAGCGATAATCCAATTGAAGAGCGACAGGTGGAAATCCGCAAACTCGTTGTCTCCTCATCTTTCATACTTCAGGGCAGATATATCGTCCGGTCCTAGAGCTTTACCGTTGGACATGTCCTGTGCCTGCACATTCTTTCTCCACGATCCAAGATAATGTCCAAGTGCTGACTTTCCTCAGTTCTCTAGGGACTAACGATTGCGTTAACTCCTCGTTGCTTGGGCCTTCGTAATATCCTTTTTATCGTTTGGTATAGCCTCTGGTCTCGATAGCAGACTGTTCTGCGTTTCGGATGTGCATAACGTGGTCAACGTTCTGCTTCCGATGTCGGGCAGTCTTTGATTGATATATCTTGTTCACGTTATCAGGTCGTTCCACTCGTCGTAAAGCCTCTTGTAATGTGCTTTCTTTGCCCCTGTTACCGCGCACTTCTCTCTCGAGTCACTTCTCGTTATCGGCGGAAGTTATCGTTTGCGTGAGAGCGTTTTCAGGTCCTGTAGGCTTCTCTCTTTTGTAATCACTTGTGGACTAACTGAGACCACCACCACATCTGCTTGTCGACACTGGCTGAGCATTTTCTTGATCCTCGATCGTGTCTACAAAGTGCCGATTCTATTAGTCTTTGATTCCTTAACATCAGTCCATTTCTGGGAATTAAAAATTTCCTGCTACCATGCTTGAAAAGCTTTCACTACTCAATTTTCTTTGCCGTTGTCCTACTGATTCGTCATTCAAATGGGCATTTGGTTGAGAATCCAAAACGAGCAGGCGATGTTGTGACGCAATTGCATGTCGTTGTAAGTACCACCTCAGACAATCGACCGGACCCCTCCGCCGGACAGTCGGAATCTGCCAGAGTCGAGCCGGACCCAGTCACCAATGAGAGCGGGGCAAATGGGCGGTCCCTTCTTGTAGGTCGCGGTGACATCACTGGCAGGCAAGTGGGACGCTTCTCCGGCCCTGCTGCAAAGGTACGCCATTTTTGCTCCGGAAGTACGCCAGATTTGGCAGAGCCGCGCCGGAGAAATTTGCCCGGCGCGAGTCCGCCAGATTTGGAAGAGCCGCGCCGCAGAAAATCGGAGGGGTCCGGAGCACAAATGGGAGGTCTCCGGAGCAGAAAATGGGAGGTATCCGGAGCAGAAAATGGGAGGGCTCCGGAGCAGAAATGGGAGGTCTCCGGAGCAGAAATACAAATGGGAGGGCTCCGGCGGACGAGTGGCAGACCCACCGCTGGGGAAACCCCGCGGCCCTGCCACTTCTCCGGCGGAGGGGTCCTACCCGCTGTCTGAGACTGTATTCACCAACATCGACAATTGGTATCGGGATTTAAGTTAAGGTGGTCCCGCATACGGTGATCAAATGTGTTGTCGCTATTTGAAGAATAAGAACTAAGTTAAGTACCTCGGCAGCTTTTATTCAAGACACGTTTTTGTTCTCGTTTCCTTAAGCGTATTCACACTGTGATATCGCTTGAAACATCACATGCGTGGCCAACTGTTCGTCAATCGCCTCCAACAAAAAGGTTGTCTGTGACAAATGTTCGCAGTAAGGTGTGAAAATGAGATGTTTGAATAAACACCTAAGTTTCCAGACATCACTTTTGTTCCTGTATTTAATGACTTCTTGCATAATCGGAAGAAATTATATATGCTCAAGCAATGATATCTACACTTTTTTGAACACCACGTTATCTTTGCTTCGCCAAGGCTCGCGCTGTATCTTCCATCTGAGTGGTCCGAAAGTTCGGCGTTCAGACCTATCTTTAGATCACTGAGAATAATGACAGACAAGCTTCTAAACAGTGTTCCATGCAATTTCTTCCTCTTTCTGGCAGTAATGTCTATGTTCTGAGTTCTTTGATAATCGCTCCAAACAGCTTTAATCTACAATATTTCACCTATTTTCGGGTATTTCCTTCAGACTTCTGGAAACATCTCTAGTAACATATGGATAGGGTAGACAAAGTGCAGTACAATGCAATTTCTTGGTATTTATTGTCATCTAAGCTATACTCTAGAATTAATGTATTTTGATGCCATCAAAATTCATGTTTGAGCCCAGTCTCATAAAACATCAAACGGCGAGCAACAGGGTGCTGACTCAATGCAGTATCTTTTACTCTTTCCATCGGATTCGTAGAGGCTTCAAGAATGAAATCTTTACAACACTCGTTTTTTAACCCATCCCAGACTCTAAAAAATTCTAAATTTATTATTTCGAAACGATAGACACTTACTTGTGCTGTAGAATATTGTTTCATAACTTTTTGAGATTTCAAATTGAAGATTCATTAGTGTCTGGAACGTTTGCGTATTCTACGACTTAGCAAAGTTGAACTTATGCAAAAGCTCAATCTAGATACCGCGAAACCAGTCTGCATCACTCAAAGTTCATTGTACTGCGCTTTGTTTACTCTATACGACTGTTACCAAAGCTTTTCCAGAACAGATATAAAATTTGAAAAATGATCGTTGAGATTATCATGTGTTGGAGATTCCGAGCTTGGAACAAAACACTCTAAAAAAAAGAAGGATTTGTGCGTACACTATTAGGAAATTTTTCGTCTTTTATCGAGTGAGTTGAAGATAGGTCTGAGATTGGGACCAATTTAAGAGCGGGCCTAATGATGCTTTCCTCGTGCACGCATGATGTTGGCATGTTGGCAATTTCAATGTGCACGTGATCTTAGGAGGAGACCTTTGTGTAAAAGTTCAAATGTTTGTTCTTTTGCTTGGTTATTAGAGTTATTATGATTTGATAATTCTTATAACAGAAAATCAAACAATCATCACTGTGACCTTCTGAGTTAGAATCATCTCAATTACTTTAGAGCTTTGAATGAGCTAATGGAATTCTCCCTTTCTGGTGCTCGTTCCGCAGAAAATATAGCTTTTGATTACTTTTTTGCTTGATGATTCTTAGCTTTTGGAGTTATTGAAATCTATGACCTAGTTGAATAAACTGAAAGTAGAAACGGTTTTGAGTGCAAAAGACACGTGAATCTTTTACTCGCAAATTTGAGACCCGCTTATTGAAGGGTTGAGCCAGACTTCGCGGGGAAGCGGCGTTCGCGGCGTACGCAGCGTACGCTCGGTATATTTCATCATAGGAGCATACGCGGCGTACGCTGCGTACGTCGCGTACGCCGCGCAGTCTGGCCCAACCCGAACCTACCCCTTTTGCGAGTGTTTGACCTATATGCTCGTACCGTGTATTGTGCAAAGTGAGCTGGCTGCCACTCTCTCTCAGTTTCGTCACACACACACACACACACACACACACACACACACACACACACACACACACACACCTTTATGCTTGTAGTGGCTCAGAGATTATTGCAATTTATTCCTACAATACTGATGCTTGATTTACGATTCTTACGATTCTTTTCTAAGAAGGATGGAGATTGAGGCACAACTGAGCGTAATAATTTACTCATTGATGAGCATCTGCGGTATTCTATTCAACGGCATTCTCATATACCTAGTATTATATCATACTACCCAAAATCTGAAAACTTATTCAAATCTGATTTTCAACTTGGCCCTATGTGATTTTATATGTTGTGTCTTTGTATTAATGACCCAAGATCGGTGAGTGGTCATATTCTACTCTCATGAATAATGAGGTGAATGTTTTTTTTTCAATTCTAGCATAATACCAGCTACGCAAAGTTTGTTATTCATAGGCAATGGACCATGCCAATTTATTAGCCCCGAGTTTTGTTTTCAAAGGTTTGTTGAAATTATGTTCATGCAATACCAACCTACTAATGCGGAAATGTAATTTCCATGACATTTGATAATGTCTTTCTACACAATGCCGCATCGTCGCTGCTTAGCTACAATACTAGTATCGGATTCTTGATAGAAGGCGAGATTGATTGGGGTACGGACGTAGTGTGGGGCTCCGCTATGACCCGTTGTGATGAAAGTTCGACTCCGAACTTGGGCAACCAAGCAACCGGGACGGTAGATTGTTACCAGAATAAGTCGCGAAATCAAAGCATTGACTCTAACCGGCTGCGCCCAGTAGTCTTACTAAAAGTTCGCGACATTCGATCGCATTTTTGCCTACGAAAATAGAGTGGAGTCGCATGCCGCCAAAGCTTTGAAGTCATCAAATAATTTATTCTTCATATTTTGAGCCAACTAAATTGAACTTCAGCTCAGAAATGAAGGGAAAGCAATTTCAACTCTGTAACTTATATTTCAGCCACAACATCATGCTACACTGCTTGAGTCATTCACTATGGAGCGCTCTTTTATCATTTTCATATCGACTGTATGTCTTGCACCACCCTATGCCAAGATCAAGTACATTACGTATTCTTATTTTTCTCTGCTACCTACCATCATTTTTCCAGTTGGTGCGCTACGCTTACTATATTAGAGCTTGCAAACATTTGCAAAGCATCTTCATTTTCTTTAAAAGAAAATCTAACTTTTCATGTTTTGAGTTTAGATAGCTTTGGGTATGTCGAGCGATTCTGCTGTGATGATGGAGGAGATCCTGCGCACGCACTATCCGCAGTACGATAGTCATAGCGGCGTCGTATATGGAATAAAAGAACTCAAATGGGGTCTCATATACACGATCCTGTATGTGACTCTACCCGTGACACCAATATATATCGCCATTGTGATTATACGCTCAAAGATTGTGGGTCATTTGGACAAGGTGGAGAATATGTCGACACAAACGAAACTCATGCACGAACAGCTTTTAAAGGTCATTTCAATGATTTATCTGTTTCTATACAAAGGCAGGGTCCATGTAAGGTAGCTCACGCGATGCTGACGCTTGAGCTGAGCTCTGGCCTAAAGAGGTGGCATGTTCTTACTTGTTACATTTGCGCCCGTTAAAGGCAGTGTCCAAGCAAAAAGTCGATTTTGAGATTTTGTGCTTACCCGGGCCTATTCGCCATGCTGAATCCGATAAACCACAATGGAGAGCGCGAAGACGCCTAAAAAGGCCCAGGAGGAAAATTGCAGGTGGCCGGGGCCGTTCACACCGTGACGTCACTCTCCCAGGTTTTAGGATTTCCTCGGTTCCGATTTTATGTCATGCGTTTCGCAGTTGGCTGGTGGTGATGTAAGGGGAACGGTTCACGATGTGAACAGCCCCACCCATCAGCAATTTTCCTCGTCCGTTAGAGCCTTTTATTTTCGCCGTTTTTGCGCTCTCCAGTGTTAATTTTCGGATTCAACATAGCGAATAGGCTCAGGTAAGTACAAAATCTCGAAATCGACTTTTTGCTTGGACACTGCCTTCAAAGTGAGCAACTATCTGTTTGATGACGAGGATTTGGTCCCATGGGAGCGCCTGTGCTTGACTTCGTGGCATAAGTCTTCGGCACTAGATTTAGCATGAGTTGTATTAAAGCGGAAGATACCATTTTACATCCTCTGTTTAATTGTTGTAATTCTATTTCAGGTACTCACATATCAAGCCCTCTTACCTATGCTTTACCTTATAGCTGTCATTTCATACGCGTTAGGCGCCCTGAATATTTATCATCATCCTCTGCTGGAGTACTGCGTATTCATATTTTTGACACTGATTTCGACGCTTGCTCCTCTTGTGTCACTCTATTTTGTGCGTCCTTACTCTAAATGGATTTCAAGCCGCATATTCAAACAAAGGAAAGCTGATGCTGTTAAAGCGGGTGGGGGATACCCACAAAAGGCGACAAATCCCAGTGCATCTGCACCAGGTGGCAACCTGTGATTAATCTACTAATAAACCAATAATCTTTCCAAGTTTCCTCTTTTCTCAATTTCGGCATAGTTAGTAGTGTGGTTAGTATGTTAGTAAGCCGTTGCGAGGTTAGTACGATTCATTAGTGGCGGCCTGACGTTTCGACTTTGTCGTCTTCTTCAGAGGCCTCCTCCACCGTCGGCACGCAGATCTTGGTGCGGCCGTCCTTCAATGCTACTCAGTACTAAAGTACTAACGGCTTACTAACACATACTACACACCAATAATCTTTGCTACAGGATGCTCAAAATTCTTTGAGGTTGTATTTTCTTAGCCAATACTTGAGTGAACTAATATGGATGGACAAAATTTGGTATACAGTTTATCTGTACAGGTCGAAACAACATGAAGTCATAATTTTTTGTCCCCGACTAGCCTTCACACAGCCCGCAGAACCTGGAGAGCGTACCCACCGTACGGGTAATTGAAATCAAGATTGTTTCATGCATTCTGAAGCCTCAAGCACCAGACCGTCCAGGTTTAGGTGGAGATAGCGCAGGTCTTGCTTTCCAGGACTGATCCAGAGAAAAGTCATAGGGGTTCATATATAACGTTCAAAACACGCCAGTTTGATCACAAGATCTCTTATTGCAATTGAATGGGTGGAGGACCATATGTGGCCGAATGAACGAGGGTCCCGGGCGGACTTCTTGCAGAAACGCACCTCCGTGCATGTGAAAGGGTGGGGGACATTAAGTCGCCGAGAAAGGGCGGTCCCCGCGGTCATTTGCGACAAATGCGCACCCTTGTACATGCGCGGACATGCGTTCCTGCAGGGAATCCGCGCGGGACTCTTCCAAATTCGGCGACATACATAATGTCCTCCACCCCATGTGAAAGGGTGCGTATTTGTTGCAGATGACCGCGGGGAACGCCCTATTTCGGCGACATATAGTCCTCTACCCCATTTGAATTTTTGAGGACATCAACAGAGTAAAGTTGTAATGGGCCCGGTGTAATATTCGAGCAATATCTCAGTGAAATCGCTCTCCGGCCACTCTTGACGATTAAACCCACAACAACTCCTTTCTCTGAAGGGATCATTGGCGCACGAGCATTAGTGAAGATTTGCGATGACTCACCACTTAGAGCCACTTATTCAATCAACATTATTTGTACGCAATTTGTCATAATAATATTCGGAGAAGAGGGAGGGGGGGGGGGGGGTGACAGGATACAACTGGAGGGGCATGGCCTTAGCCGCATCCTTTGGGAAATTTTCCGTAATGGTTTCCAAATTTTTTGCAGGCATATAGCCTCAAAAATTTGAGAAACTGGGGCGATCGTTGGCCACGCCCCCACGGAAGGGTTTCTCCTCACAAAACTATTACATCAATAAAGATTATTTCAAATCAAGCATTTCCTTTCTCTTATCTCCCTACCGTGGCGCTCATAAAGTGAGGATTTCGTCTATTATGTACGTACTATCGAATTGCTTGTTAGCATTTCTAAATGCAAAAAAATCGTTTGTTCACTTTTCAACTTGTGACATGCATATGCAAATCCACTTTGGGTTGAAAATAAAAATTGTGACTGTAAGTGATCGTGCGTAACGGATCCGCCTGGATGCTCAAGCGTTCATGAGTACACTTGAGGAAAAAGAAAAAAATTCTATGAAAAAATTTTCGAATATGTATTTCAGCGGGCTGATTTCCCAACTCACTAGAACACGCAGTCCATGACAAACACATATTTATGAATAAATAACACTCTATACATCGATGTAATCCTATTATTATATATGAATATCAGCAAACGTTTCCCTAATTTTTCTCCTCAACGCATTCTCGTTCAAAACGAAATCCGTCGCCAGTTCAATATAACCGTCGCGAGTTTTTAGTTGTGGTTCGACAAATGTAATGGAGTCCTGAAAAAAAACCACAATAAATCACAATAAGTCATGCCTACCAAATTTGCAGTGATCATTACTGGTAGCATGCCTTTCAAGCTACAAATCTACCAAAACTTTACTTTGGGCATTGTAAAATTTTAACGAAGAAATTTATTCATTTGTGCTGTATTCGGCCCTTTTCCATTCAAAAATAATGCCTTTAAAATATATCCTCTTACCTTCAAAGGAAACGGCACTCCTTTCTTCAAAGCTTGACTGAGCTGAGGTCCAATAAAAGTTTTCGCCAGTGGTGTTAGTTGCTCTATAGATGAGGGATCCATACCAGGAATTGCGGAGCGGTGAAGACGAACGGACAACCTGAATCGGACGAAGGAAACATTTTTTTTTCTGGCATAAAAAGACTTGTACAAAAGCTCGAAGGCAAGCTACCTGTTCAGTTTGAGATCACCTCCCAATCGTCCATTCTGAGCTGCCAGCAGAACATCAGCTTGACCTTCGGCCGATGAAACCATGATCTGTCTGTCGTGACCATTGTCATCGACATATGTTAGGATTCGAGCTGAAAGTTTAGGTAGGATTTTCTAGAAAGTGCAAATAAAATTAATAATTTTATCATTGTAGCCTTTCATCGTTGACTTATCACACCTCCTACTTGTAATAGATGATCAATAGCTCCGACCTCACGCGAGAAGGATACTATTAGGTCGTTCCATAAGTTCGTAGCGTTTTTATTTTTGTCGTCGTTCTGGTGAAGCGGTTGGTTTTCGGCAAAGTATCTGTACTAACCGAAAGGACTGTTTTGTAACTGCTCAAGGCAAAGTTTTTCGCACAGCAAAAAATGGCATTCACGACGTCTGCATCTTTGGCCCCACATACCGGAATCAACATCGGTAACCTTGCATTTGAAAGTTATGTAATGAGGAAGGACTGTTTACCGAACTATGATACACATAGAAGTAGACTTCTTGTCAAGGGAGAAGCTACAGAGAAAGATAGAGCGCACTTTTACCGTATGTGTAGATGCTTTGCGTTTTTCGAGAATGAATAAGTTTTCTAAGCCAAAATTTTTAGGGAAAGCGTAAAATCGCTGGTCAGGGCTTGCATTCAAACTTCAGCGCCACTTAGACAAAGCTGTTTATCGCTCACCCCTGACAGCAGGACGAGAACATTCTGTTGCGAAACAACGCGTAAAACTCAAGTTGCAGCTGCCGAAGACTGCAACTAATGAGATCTCGTTCAAACAATTCTTAGCATATTGGCTGGGCATCACTGTGTCAACACATCAGCCTTGCTTGCTACTCTATTCCGACTATACATGCAGAGAAATATTTGTGGGATATGGACGAAATGCGGAAAGTACAGATGTCGAAATGCCATTTTCTGCCACTAAAAACGTCACTTTGAGAAGTACCAAACTTGGAACGACCTAGTAGTTTGGCCTGGACTTTAAAATTTTCCTAAATCAGCTCAAAACGCCGAGTCCAAATATGCTGTCCCAGCTACGAAGCGTCATTTTGATTTAAGTCATGAGCTTTTGAAATTTGTATGCTTTCGACTAACAATATGCTAGCGCCGTTCCTTTGTCAGAAATGTTTTTCGGGGGGGGGAGGGAGAAGGGGGGAGTAAAGACAGCAAAGTCAACCTTATTTGATTGAAGTAAGGCCAACGCCACACTCTCCCAATTCTATGAAAAATTTAGAAAAAGTCAAAAGAAAAGAAGCGCGGCATCGGCTGCTCCACAAAAAGTTTTTCGAAAAACCCTCTTTTCAATTCTAAAAAGTAACCTCTTATAGATAAAAACACATTTTTCATTGGCTATTATGGAAAATTATCCCCCTTCTTCTCCTTTCGCTACTGCTGTCTCAAAACGTCTCCTAATAATTTTAGATTAATAGCTTTCAAAACTAACTTGATAACCTAATAGCTCCAGCATCACCATTGAACTGAAAATCGGGAAGACCGTGAGGTAAAAGCACAAACGACGTTGTGGTATTTGGATAAGCCTGAAAAATTGTTAGTAAGCCTGCTTATATTGCTGAATCTCTTCAAATAGTACCTCAGCTATAGGTGGAATTAGCTTGCCAACGCATATCGAAGACGTAAAGTCGCGGCTGGTTGCACTTCCACCACAGGTGGTGGCGATAAAACCTCTGTACTTTGGTGAGAGATTGTTCTTGTCGAGCTGCAAAATGCGAAACTAAGTTCTGCGATTCCTTTTTGCGTCAGTAACAAAGCAAAATGAACGATAATGAAATAGTGGAAGAACTTACCTTAATTGAAAGTTTGTTTGTTTGGTAGGCATGGTATAGAAGCGAATTGAATAAGAAATCAGACCCATAGAAATAGAGCATTCGGTCGGACTCCTCGTCGGTGTACATGGGCCTGAATCAAAGTAAACATGGAGCTTCGGATGGCCGTAACAAGCATCATAAAAAAAATTTTGCGTAAGACTGACTTTGGATAGAATGGTGTTGGCTCGTTATTGCTATTGTATCGAATTTCTCCTGTTTGATAAGAACAATTTAAGACAGACTTGAACGTTCGAGATATATAACACTTACCTCTTTGTTGAGTTTCAATAAATTCGTTCGTGACTATGGGATCGGCGATGTGCCTATTGTCTATGTACATTCCGCGCACAAAATCTTTGACAAATCTAAAACAAGAATTATGGGCTTGCTTTCATGAGAAAAAAACTAGAAATTTCAGGAATTTAACAGCAGCAAATAGCAAATGGTGACACTTAGCATTGACTGACATCCTATAGGCGGCAGACCCTGCGTTCATTCGTCCATGGTCAAAACCTTCAAGAATTGCTTTTTCCGTCATTTTCGCGCTGTGCAGGGTAAATCTGGATCAGTATAATGGATACCCCCGATAAGCGAGAGATCTAAAGGTCCAATGACCGAGCCACTAACTTTGAGCTTTAGCGCGAAGGAAAAGCAAAACACGAAAATTCAAAACCTGTAAATCACCCTTTTTATTGTTGCCTTGAGATTGAAGAGATGCTACTATCACATTTGGAAGCGATTAGCTACCAGAGCTTCAGTTTTGAACCATCACAACTTACTTCTTGATCACAGGACTGTCGATTAATCCAAATTCTTGGAAATGTTCTTCGAATTCAGTCTTCACCAGTTTCTTGAATAATCGCGGTGAATTGTCCTCGATGAGGTGCTTGAGTTTTTTGCAGAACATGCCCGGAATCCTGTGGCGAATTCCCTCGTTGATTAAGCCATGAAAATACAAGGTGAGAAGCATGAAAAGCGACAGAAATCAAGACTGATACCTCTAGAGTTTTCACTAAAGGACCCATAGGTCCTTGAGGATTGATATTGAAGTGGCTTCTGCTTATTATTGTAGAGCAATTTGGAACCTGAAGTATGAAGACCTGAGCCTGAATTATACTTTTCACCAACGCCAAAACCTAAACAATTAATGCGCAATACGAAGAATTTTTCTTAGTGACTATAGCCTTCCTTGCGGTTCGTCAGCTCGTCGCCAAGAAACTTGCATATGTTAACATTCGTTTTTATGATAGAGAAAATTTATTACGTGAAGATGTGCCCGGTTAGAGGAAAAGCATCAAGAACCGTAAGAATCGCATAATAGAGGCAAGTTCTGCGGAGTGTTTCCTCCAAGATCAGTTCTTCACTGGAAATTCTCTTCAACAATCCCAAAACGCCTGCTGTCACACCAGAGTGAAGTACTTAATTTGACTCACTACAATGACAAGACCTTGAAGAAGGATTGTCGACTGACGCTACACTTTTTTGTAGCTTTCAAGCTCCAGACCTCTCTTATCTACAGCATAGGCAGGAAAGGTTCACCTCGGCAAAAAGTGTATCTAAGCTTTCATATTTTGTGAAAATTTGCTCCGTGCAATTTTTTTTGAACATTTTCTGAATTCGCGCGAAAGAAGTGGGGATTGAGAAAATTGCTTTGATGTTGCAAAAATCTTTAATGAGTAAATACTAACGAGTAATGTGTATACTGTTAGATTGAGTCATTCGGGTTTTTAAAATAAAATATGGAGATAGCGAACAAGCTGGAGAGAATGAGCTATACAACCAATATCCAGGGGTATCTTTAAAAATGTATCGTATGCTTTTTTCCTTTGAGCATAAAACAGTGCAAAACAAGATATCGTCATCATTCATCATTCTTCTGTTACGATATATTAGGATGTCTTATAATTTTTTACCGTTTTTACTGCAACCGCCGTCTTTTTGTATCTTTCCTTCATCTGATGTTGCTTGAGTAATCATTCGACGGAGCAAAACAAGCTTTACAAGATGGCTATCAAAAGTCTACACAGATCATATCCCACCTAAAGTTTTAAGCTGAAATCTGATAGTAATTGAAAACGAACTTTTCTTTCAAAGACCGTATCTCCGACCCAAAATATCAAAAAATTCCCCACCTATCCTAGCATATGCTTGACACATCGCATATTCAACTGTACACTTTTCGAATTTTTTCCATGGCTAGATATAAAGAAAAAAATGAACGAAACAAAAAGACAAACTCCGCCTCTAGGCATCCTGAGCTCCTCCCACGCATGTGGTCATATAGCTCATACATACAGAAGTACGAACATGTATTTGGAACTTTTGTAGGTGCCCCAGTTTTCGAGAAATGCTGATGTTTAGAGTAAAAATGGTGAAAAAAAATTATGAGATACCCTAATACATGTCATATGTAGTTATTGAGTTAAAAATCAAAATGAAGCGAAAAGCTCATATATGGAATCAGCAATGCACTGAGAGTAATAAAGTTTTCAGCTCTTTCGGACAATTTCCTGGAGCAATGTATGCACCCGTTGTCGCAAGTCCTTATGTTCTAACGTTTGTAAAGTACATAGAGAAGGGATTAGTTTTCTATTGTAAATCAAGTTGAGGCTAGCTTCATTAGTAGTCAAGAATGTGCGAAAGCTGTTCAGACAAGAGGGTCAACATCGATCAAACGTTTGATCTTTTTGGACTTATATTTGCTTCTACTTGTAGGATACTAAATGATCCTGACCAAATGAATTTCGGATTTTTCGATTTGTTTCTATGTTCGCACTTCTTACCTGAACACTCATCAGACCTTCATCGGTGCTCGCAAATTCTGCAGTTAGGGCCACGGTCATGCCAATAATGCTTCCATCAACGAATCCTTCGACTTGGAAAGGTCCACCGTTCCCGTAAAACGCTCCATTCAGCCTGCATTGCAACACATTTTCTACACAATTACACTTAGAGTGTTGAAATCGAGGTCATTGAATAAATCACTGCGCAATAGGTTTTGTTGACTGCATTCTCTTTCATATGAACGGAGAATAATGCAAAACTCACCAGATATCCATATTCTCTAAGCCGAAGACAACATAACGAGGTGGAAGGAAGTTTACCACGGAAACCTGGAAAATGATGATTTTTATAGCCCGTAATTTTCATAGATATTATCGATGATTTTTCTTCTCAGCAACTCAATTGCCTATTTATCAAGAAACTAAAAAATTAAAACTTTTACCTGCGGTGGGTTGAACTGTAGGACTCTGACATTGTTCAGATTCACAAATCCTTCGATTCCCGGTTGAGAGATTGTAAACTGCGTCGAATAGCCAGAAAGTTGCGAGATTTGTTCGTTCAGCAGACGAACGCCGACTGTCTTCACGTGATTGATACCTTTTTTCGTTAATCGTATTCGCACGCCAGCGTTTCCTAGAATAAGAAACAGATAACTGCGATCATCTGATTGTGATTGCAAACTGCGTTTTCAATGGGCAATTTTTAGATATCTTTACCTTGCCCTCGCCTATAATTACAATGACATCATTACGGGACTTTGTTATTTAAATAATTTGTTCATGTGTGATTCATAAACGCGGAATTATGAATTTTAAAGAAGTGCAAAGACGAGAGAGTTTTAATTGGAACACTTTGGTCATGAACACATTTTCACCTTTTCGAAAATTTTAACACGTTTCGGACCGCGAAATCGCGCCGGCGAAAAAGAGTGTAACTTCAGCCGGTAGCCTACAAAGGGACCTTATTTCGCAGCCAGTGGACCAAATTTGTAATCAGCATTTCAGATAAGCTCCATACCCAAAGTTGTGAGCGAACTCGAAGTGTTTGAATTTTGTCGCTTGAGAAGGACTTCTGTGCTTTCTTGAAAGATAGGAACAAGAACTCAGTTTCTAATTGTATCCGAAATTATCCAGGTTGTACATGATACACATCATTGTTGAAACTACGGTTTTTCTCTTTGGAATCGAAACAAAGAAAAGTTGCGACGTTGATCATATCTCCTAAACAAAATATACGCGGCACAGCTCTACAGAGTCATTTGAAAAGTAGGACCTTAGACCTTTGACTTAACAACTTTGGACTAAAAGGAAACCTCCTGTAAACGCCAGAAAGATCCTTTAAAACAGCGTGCTGCACTATGTGCAGCACCGTCCGAAACGTGTTAAACGTAATTATAAGTTGAAATATTTCGTTATAGGTAATGAGATCGCAGAGCAAGTAGAAGCGAGACGTTCAGAAAGAATTAAAAGGATATTTTTGAGAGTTCCTTGAAATAAGTTTTCCACCCACGCTCTTTGTTTCAAAATTTTTGGGGTTACAAAATCGCTAGAAATCCAGACATTCTGTAACTTCAAGAGTGTGACTTACGCAGCTCACTTCAAGGAAGTTACTCTGCCCCTCCGTACTCCCTCCTCTCTTTCTCCTCTTCCAAAAAGATATTTTGCAATTTGTAGCTAACAAAGATTCTTTACCTAAGAACAACAGAGATATTGAAGTGCGGAAATTGATAACGGATATGATCGAAACTACAACACGACGAACTCTAGGCCCCCTAATTGAACTGAATTTTCTCTTGTTTTCTTAGCTCAAATGTCCTCTACTGCTTCGAATGAGTAAGTTCACATCTAGTCTGCGAGAGAATTGCGATAGATGCTAGCAGATATTTAACGGAAAACCCTAACACCTTTGGAAACGATTCTGCAACAATCTAAACCGCAGACTTTTTTATTCCATTGTGGCTTCGAACGACCAGTCGAGGGAAAGTTTGTTGCCTCGCTCGTCCTCTCCGTATTAAGATTAGCCATAACGCAATTGGAGGTGGGAGTCGCTAATTGTAGATGGGAGTGGCTATTATTAGTTTTTACACTTCTTCTGAAGCGAAACTCGTTTTGCACGCTAACTCGCTCAAATCTCAGACACTAACAGATAGCCGTATTTACCTGCGCTAGATAAACGGAGAAAATGTCCCATATAAGACGAACTTCTTGGTTTTATACTTAGCGAAAGATTTTCAAAGGGTGAATGGCGAAGCGACACTTACAGTAAATCAGATTATTCCTTATCCTTTTCTTTCTTGTTGTTTCTCGTTGAAAGATAGTCAGTGGTAACCAAAACACTTTCAATATCAGAGATTGGCAATTACAATGGCAATTTCGGATAAATTATCTAAATATCTTCCATTCAGACAATCCATCGCCAGTAAAGAACTCATCTAATAAGAAAATGCATTCTTGCATCAAAAGCATAACCACATTTCTGTGTTATATTCTTACAGAACCACTCAGACAATTCACTGGAAATTCCGCAGAACGTTTGAAAAAGTTCTGCCGGGTCACCTGCAAAAGTTCTATAGAGAGTTGCGGGAAGTTTCGAGTTGTGAAAGGTTCAGAAAGGAAACAGCAAAGGAGAACGACTAATTCGAACCTTGCTCTAGTGGTTGCGAGATTCATTTACTATCCTCTGCGCTACGGATGACATTTTCGACGTTGCATAGTTGTTGACCATAAGCGGAAGTATTGACAAGTCAAAATGCTGCGGAACTGCTGGCATTGTTCGGAATTTTTGCAGCGTTTTCTAGCGAGTCCAGCGGAAGTTCCCGTTTTCAACTCTGACGTGCAGATTCTGCGAAAGTCCCCATTCTCAACGTTTTCACTTTGAGTAAACAAAATACTGCGATAGCGCTGCAAATATGGCTTGTCCTGTAAAGTTTCCGGTGAGGCAGCCGTGTCTTAGGCAAAACTAAAGCTACACAAATTGTCAGCACTTCAAATTGTAACGAGAGCGGTCTAGCAGATTTGACGGCGGTTATTGTGTTCTTGCGTTGCCGACAACAACTTCGCGTAATGCCCATAATCTGCAAAACATAGAAATGTGCGCTCTACCGCCTTCATTTTGCCCAAGCTTTGTCTCTTCGCAATGGTACGATAATGGCGTCAAACCTACTAGCCTGTGATAAATGGGCCGTATTGCGAAGCAAGGGTTTGCAAAAAAAAATTCTTTGGCGATTTTTGAAATAAAAAATCTTGTTCGTAATTGCTGCAACAGGGCAAAGCAAAGCACAAACAAGATCCTTAGGAAAAATATAATTAGGGGCTTTTTTTGCATGTCACAGTCTCACACATTTCGCCCTGTGCGATCGGAACAAGTTTCTACGGGGCAAAGCTGTGAGACTGGCTATCTAGACAAATGGAATCGAGACATTGAAGACCGCGGGGACTTGAGGGGGGGAGAAGGAGAGAGTAAGAAAAATCTTACGATTGCGAGGAAAAAGAACTGAAAATAGAGATGTGGAAGACTATGAAAGCATCCGTTACTGTATGCTTTGTGAACCAGATGAAACAGAATTATGCTGCTTTTATTCACTGCCATATAGAAGAAGGTTTGCGCAAGAGTATTAGGAAGATAAAGTTTTTTCTTTGAAAAGCAGTCAATTTTTCCAAAGAAGAGCAAACGGACATGGTAGAGTGTACAATGTTGAATACCTTACCTGGTGCTCGATTCCACTCGGCGTGCTGGAAGATCTGTCTTGCTAGAGTAATTGTGACGAAATACAGTAATAAGAGAGCTAATCGCCATGTAGAGGTTCTCATTTTAGCACGCTTTAGGTTGTCGAATCACAAATGGAGTGCAATGGATCCAGCGCGAACTGGATCTCGAATGTAAGACATCTCGGAAAAGAGGGCTGGGTAGGGGTGGGGGTGAGACCGACGAACGGATGGATTGACGACGACGGCGACGAAGACGACAACGACCACGAAGACGCGCTGCTGGTGATGACCAGTGGGGATTTGCGCGGATCAGCAATGAAAGAAACCGCACAAAGCGGCCGTGACATCTCGTAAGCGGGTTGTCTAGCGTTGATATCCTGAGTTTTTGGGTGGCTTTATGGATGTAAGGCCTAAGGCATACCCATAGTCAAGCATGGGGTGTGGCACGCCACACCTGAGGGTCGTAGTGACAATGTCAGATAGGCCCATTATGCGAAATGTTAGGACACTGGTGTTTCGGCCTGCCATGGTACTGCTATCGTATACCTAGAGTAAGCTTAATAAAAAAAGTCTTAGAAATATTATATAATCATTTTCGAAATTAACATGTCAAATAACCTCTTGTGGATCAAGTTTCAGCGAACTTTGAGATCTCCAGAAATTGGTCAACTCAAGTGAAGTGGTCATTTTCGACATGATTAACTTCACTTCAGAGGTGAGCTAGCTACCTTTTTTGCACTTAATACAAAGAATCGCTACTTCTTTGCTCACATTAGGAATTTCACTTCAAATCACCTCTAAATTGTGGAATTAAGAGCAAGCCAAAATCTTGTTTGTCCCATTTTTCGCTTGAACTTGAAAGGTCGAATTAGAGAAGACCAATTAAGCCCAAATCACTTTTACGAGAATTACTAGGTTTGGCTATCGAATATATTTAGCTGCCTTCCCTCGCGATTCATGTAGTGGCGCGGACTTAGCATGTTACCGTAGTGGCTCAGTATTTTTGCAGTGTTGTTCTTTTGCATAGGTAAGGAAAAACGACTACAGCTTTCCCTAAAGGAACGAATTTGGATGAAATTCTTACCATGTAAAGAAAAAGGTTTATCAGTGACGACGGTGTTGAAAATACAGATACTTGTATGCTCTGAAGGCAAGTTAAAGGCACCGTCTACCCAAAATCTCGAATTCAATGTTTTTGTCGCCTTCCTCAGGCAGCGGATAGGACCCCTCCGCCGGAGAAATGGCAGGGTCGCGGCGTTTCCCCAGCGGTGGGTCTCCCATTTGTCCGGCGGAGCCCTCCCATTTGCCCGGCGGAGCCCTCCCATTTCTCCGGCGGATACCTCCCATTTTCTGCTCCGGATACCTCCCATTTTCTGCTCCGGAGACCCCCCATTTTCTGCTCCGGAGACCCCCCATTTTCTGCTCCGCAAGTCTGCCGCGGCATACTGTAATTAGCCCTAATTAAAGGCAGCTTCCAGGCAGATCTGGACCTATGGGGCTTTTACATGGAAAGTACTTTTGGGGCCCTAACTAAGGCACTGCCGAAGCAGCAGTTCAGGTAGTGCTCTAATGGCGGAGATATTCCCCTCGAAATAGACCCCCCGCGAACGTATTCGCATGGATTCATGGCAGTTTCGCGCCAGGGTCCACGCTTTGCGCCATGAATCCATGCGAAACACGGTCGCGGGGTCCAGTTTCGAGCAGAATATCTCAGGCGTTACAGCACTACCTGAGCTGCCTTTTGGGTAGTGGGCAGTGGCGGTCCGAGAAATTTTTTTCGGGGGGGGCGCGAAAAAAATTTTTTTCTAAGGAAGGTGCGTGGCGTTAGCCACGCACTCCGAAAAAATTTTTGGGGTGCTTCTCAAAATTTTTGCGGGTTCCCGACCCCTAAAGTCTGAAAAAAGGGGGCGTGGCGTCAGCCACGCCCCCGAAAAAAATTTTTTTATAAGGCTAAAATGAATTTTTAAAAAATTTTAAAAATTATTTTAATTATTTTCCAGTGCAAACAAGTCGTTTGCACATTTTTACAACCCATATAGGTAAGTTTCAAAAATTTCGCGACCCATTCTCGGGGGGGGGCGCGCGCCCCCCCCCGCCCCCCCCCCCCCTCGGTCCGCCACTGGTAGTGGGTTAGTTAGGGCCCCAAAAGTACTTTCCATGTAAAATCCCCATAGGTCCAGACTTGCCTGGACGCTGCCTTTAAGCTCCAAACCCCAATTTTGTCTCTAAACCCCACCCAAATTAGCCGAATAGGACCCCCCCCCCTCCCCCCCGGGTAGGAGTTCAGCACGACCCTCACCCCGTACTCTACCCCCTCCCTCTCACCCCTAGCGTTTGTGGATAGAAGATAGGAGAAAGAACGAAGAGATTAAACATTTATCTCAAATTTTTCAAACTTCTTCGAAAAATCATCTTATATCGCTAATCATTTCACACTCACTGGTGTAAAAGAGTGAACCTTAGAATAGCGAATAAGCGAACGTTCAAAACGTGACAGATGAGGGAACGGGCATAGTGTCCACGATTTCGTCGCCGCGAATTCATCGCCGGGGAAATCGGTGGTTTGGGCGACGAGATCGCGACGACGAAATCGTCCGTCGCGCGGGCTTGGGCATAGTGTGCGCGATTGCGTGCAGTCACACACATGACAATTTAATGCACGTAAAGAACGCCATTCAAACGCAATTTCATCCTGCAGTGTTCGATGAGCATTCCACCTGCGAGCAAATAACCATGAAGATTCGTTCAATCTTGGTTTCATTCAATCTTCAATTTTGATCGTTCAATTTTGACAAAGTATTCTGAAGTTTGGTTGAATGAATGTTTATATCTGTAAATCTAGGTTCAAAACATTCACTAAGAACATCACTTACTTTTTGAGAGGGTCTATCCTCATATTAACGGAAGTATACATTGAACAGCTCAAGGGAGTGGTCGTCAAAGACACAAGAAGAGAACAACAGTAGGTGAAAATGTCCAAGCGAATCGTTCATACAATGCTTGTTCAATCTACTCTGTTAGGTACGCTGTAGGTGCATGGAATAAACGCATGAAAGCTGTGATGGCTCCCAGAAGCAGTCGAGGTGCCTAGAAAATGGTTCTTACTATTTTCTCAATTGCGAAAGCAATCAAGAGAAAAAACGTTAACGAGAAGACTCAAGACTTTTTGTGAAAGCACTTCTGCCGACTACGGCCCAGAAGAATCACAGCGTTTCTTTCCGCTTAATCTCGAGCAAAAAAGATTGCCCAGATTCAGAGATAGATGGCTGAACCACTTGGTTGCCTATTTCAGTGAGAATTTATACAAAAACACGAAAATAAATACGGAAGAAATGGAAAAATCGTGAATCGGCAGACAAAAAAGGAAATATAAAGTACACCTACCTTTCTAGAGTAGGGCAGCTAGGCATATCCTTCCATGCAAAAGCACTATACTGAGGCACATTTAAAAACACATTATAATCCATTAACCTACGATTGAATGTATCAGATATTGCGTGACTGAAACGTGCAAGGAACAGAAGAAGTATAAAATAAAATGCAAGGGCTGACTGTGACTCACCTAGGAATGAGCTTGTCAAACCGATGCACTACTATGGCAGAGTTTCTTGTGATAAATGGGTCTCCAAAATTCATAACAACTGTATTTCGGCCAGAGTTTGGAAGCTTTGTATACATTTCAGATGAACCTTTGGTGAGATAAATCTAAAAGATGAGTGAAATCAATGACAAAGCATGATGAAGCGGACTTCTGAAGATCTCAACGTACTGTTAGACATGCTTTGGCAGCATCGTTGACAATAGTTCCCAATGAGGAAAGCTCATTTTTGAAACCGACCATCATGGGAGACAAAACGGTAAAATTAGATATGTACATGGGCATAAAGGTTGTAATAGAACATCTGAAACTGAAAATCATCCAAGAACGAATAGCAATGAGACATCAGAACTGACCTAAAATCTATGGAAGTTTCCAGTGTTAGTTGTGATGAAAGCTGACGAGTGGGATGTGTTGCTTGAAATTCCTCGCCAGGTAAGTATATCGCTTTATGAGGTAAGAAGCCCAAAGAAGCCCGAAAAAGCCTAAAAAGCCCGAAAAAGCCTAAGCCCGAAAAAGCCTAAAAAGCCCAAAAAAGCTCAAAAAAGCCCGAAAGCGCCAGAAAGAGCCGGAACACTTCTCGCACGTTTTGGCGCTAAGGCATGTGTGTTGACTTCGCATTCGAGCCTTTTTGTCATTTTCTGTCTTTCGCATGATAAGATAATGTCAAAATTTTACCAAAAGTTCGTCTCTACATTCCGGCTCTTTCTGGCGCTTTCGGGCTTTTTTGGGCTTTTTCGGGCTTCTTTGGGCGCTTTTGGGCTTTTTTCGGCCAAGTATGACGGGTCCCTGTCCGGGGCCTCATGCGGAAGGTGCGTAGGGGAGCAAAACTTCTTTTGCGCACGTCTATGCTCACTACAGCATTTACGAAAAGAAGAAAAAAAACAAGAGGAACAAAAGACTGCCAAATAGAAAAGCCGTACCGCTGCTGCTCCGCTATCCGATAGTCCATTGCATATCCATTACATCCAGCGTCATAGTCCTCATGAATATTCCTGAATAGATCAAACGTGATTACACTTTTTACAGCCCTAACAGCTTCATAAATACCTTATGACAACATTACTCCTCTGTCTCCGAAAGAGCGGATCATCCATGGGTGCGTAACAGTTGTCATTCAGAAATCGCAGCGCGACGGTATCGTGGACACTATGCTCTAGGCCTGATGCCGCAATGAATGATTTGCAACGACGCGCCAAATCGATACGCAGCCTGCTCCGGGGCCCTCCCATTTCTGCTCCGGACACCTCCCATTTTCTGCTCCGGATACCTCCCATTTTCTGCTCCGGATACCTCCCATTTTCTGCTCCGGATACCTCCCATTTTCTGCTCCGGACACCTCCCATTTTCTGCTCCGGAGGCCTCCCATTTCTGCTCCGGACCCCTCCCATTTTCTCCGGCGCGGCTCTTCCAAATTTGGCGGACACGCGCCGCGCAAATTTTCCGCGGCGCGGAGTCCGCCAAATCTGGCAGAGTCGCGCCGGAGAAATGGCGGACCTTTGCAGCAGGGCCGGAGAAGCCTCCCATTTGCCTGCCAGTGATGCACCGCGATGGACCGCCCATTTGCCCTTCTCTCATTGGTCAACTGGGTCCGGCGCGACTCTGGCAGTTTCGGAGGGTCCGGCGGAGGGGTCCCGTCGATTGTCTGAGTCAGGCCTTCTGATAGCCCTGATTCCGAATATGGAGTCGAAAATCCGCGAAACCTCCAAAAATCCCTGTTTAGAGAACCCTTTGCAACAAGAGCAGGCGAGATAAAGCATGGCGACCGGGGTCGCCCCGCCTACTTTGCTGCTTCCGGAGCGGATTTCTGGCTCCAGAAGCAGTCTTTTGCGGCGAAGCTTGGAGGTTTGTCTAGTATGGGGGCCCACACTGGTATGCCATCATAATCTCGCCAACCTCCATTTTGGGTGCACGGTGCCTTTAATGGGGTTTGACACAACTTCTAAAAGGTGTCAGCAACAGCTTTTCTGGGGGACTGTGCCACACCATTAACATACCTCCAAACAGACAGCGAACAAAATGAATACAGTTCTATAGATAAATCTTGTAGTTTTTATGGAAGTGATTACAGTTGAGTTAATCTCCTTTCATTTGCAATAATTGCTGGAATCACAATCAGTGCGAGCGGAAAATGGGACAAACGAGATTTTGATTGGCTTCCAATTCCATAATGTGATGGTTACTCAAAGTAGGATCCGTATGGGCGAATAAGGAGTGGTGCTTTGTATTGAGTACAAAAAGAGGTCGCTAATTTATTTCTGAAATACGAGAGAGGTAAGCGATTGCGCGATTAAACACAGTCCTGATACAAACCTAACGACGCGACTTCGCTGAATTTTAGCTATGCGCGACGATATCGTTGGCGGAGGAATGCTGTCAAAAATGGCCCACGATTCATCGCATCACCATATTAAGACAAAGCGGCGCGACCACACAGTAAAGCACCCTCGCGCGACGGACTCGAAACATATCAAGAGGAAATCGCGCAGCGTTTGGAATCGCGCGAGGTTTGCCTTGTATCTGACCAAGGCCCGGCACATCGAGTGGAGACAGGCTGGACTTCGTGTGAGACAAATAGGAAAAGGGGTGTTTGGATATGTGCTCAGAGTATTATTTGCGGAAGAATTATGTAAAAGTTCTAAAACTTAGAGGCAGTGGATCGGCAGAATGAGATCCGTGGCAAAACAAAGTCATAGGCAGAGGTGCGATGGGGGGAGCCGGGCTCACCAAAAGTGAAGGTGGTCCCAGCTACCACTGGCCGGCCAAAAGTGAAGGTGGTAGTGCCGGACACTCACCTCCCAAAAACGTCGACCGGGGGGGGGGGGGGGAGCATTAACGTCTATCCTTCCAGGTCGTTGCCGCCAATGCGCGGAAAATAAGCAAAACAAATGCAAAAGGTATCATTGAGAGCATATCTTTATGTATACAGCATCATAAATATCTAAAATAAACGTGCTTATCAAATAATGTATTTGGAAGTTAAGCTTAGTAGAACTGTGCGTATTTTATTAAATAAATTTTGTTATAATGTACAGCGAAGAAAGTAGATCGATCCGGGCAGAAACGGCCGAGAACCAGAATTTTGAATAATTAAATAGTGAAAAATCATGCGAAATTTCCACTGTTATAAATCTGTTGTTCGAAGATGTCAGCAGGCGACTTCATAGGTTTTGCAGAGTAAATGGTGCTCCATCAGCTAGTGAAAGAATCGAGTGGATTCGAGAGAAAGTCGGAAAATCAGAATTCTAAAAATTTACGCCATTTTTGCGTGTTTTTTGACAGTTGACAGTTAAACTCATATAAATCCTGAATGTAAAGGTTTGTGATGTTGCTACTTCATAGGTTTTATAGAGTAAGGTTTGACTTATCAGGATGTATCTTAGCCGTTCCGATCCATTGAAACATCTCCGAGATCCAGAGTCTTGAAAAAGCAGGTAAAAAGCGCTTTTTGGATTTCAACAGCTCATAACTTTTCCAGAACTGCGTGAATCACGTTGTGACTTCATAGGTTAGATTCTTCTCATCAAAAGCTTTCAGAGGATATATAATATATGGGGGTTTAAAGCCTCCTACGAATTATGCCCTGGGGGGAGCCTTCTCATCACAAAGTCTCCCCCCTCCAATACATTGAAGTGGGCTAAGGGGAGACTTTGGTATGAAAAAGCCCCTCCAGGGCATAATTCGTAAGAGGCCCTAGACCCCCACATATTTTATATCATCTGAAAGCTCTTGATGAGTAGAATCTAACCTATGAAGTCGCAACATGACTCATGCAGTTCTGAAGAAGTTATGAGCTGTTGAATTTCAAAAAGCGCTTTTTTACCTGCTTTCAAGACTCTGGATCTCGGAGGTGTTTCAAGGGATCGGAACGGCTAAGATATATCCTGATAAGGCAAACCTTACTCTATAAAACCTATGAAGTAGCAACATCACACACCTTCACGCAAAAATGGCGTAAATTTTTAGAATTCTGATAACCATTTTCTCTCAAATCCACTCGATTCTTTCACTAGCTGATAGAGCACCATTTACTCTTCAAAACCTATGAAGTCGCAACTGCTGACATCTTCAAACAACAGATTTATAACAGTGGAAATTTCGCATGATTTTCTTCTATTTAATTATACAAAATTCTGGTTCTCGGCCGTTACTGCCTGGATCGATCTACTTTCTTCGCTGTACGTTATAACAAAATTTGCTTAATAAAATCCGTAGTTTCGCTAGGTTTTACTTCCAAATACACCATTGAACACGTTTATTTTAAATATATATGCCGCCGTCATAAATATATGCTTTCAATAATCTTTTTTGCATTTGTTTTGCCAATTTCCTTCTTTATCGTCTAGCGAGAAATTAATCCAAAAGTGAAGGTGATCATCCTGTACCAGCTCAAAAGTGAAGGTAGGAGGAAAATCGGCTCCCACTATCGCACCTCTGGTCACAGGGTAGGAGCCCTCATAATGGAACCTATGGGCCAAAGTTCGACATGTCTTTGCCACTTCTAACCCCCGAAATTTCAAAGCGAAAGCAGCGCTGATCTCCTCTCCTCTCCGACCCCGCCCACGCCACGGACGAGTGAGCGCAAAGGCCGCCATGGCGAAGACGCAGAGTCGCTGCGGGACCCCTATGCTTATAGCATTACGGCAGCGCGTTTTGACCGTGGAAATCACTCGTCCATGGGGTGGGCGAGGTCGGAGAGGAGAGGAGATGAGCGCTGCTTTCGTCTTGAAATTTCGGGGTTAGAAGTGGCAGAGAAAGGTCGAACTTTGGCCCATAGGTTACATTATGGGAGCTCCTTCCCTGTGACTTTGTTTTGCCACGGGTCTCATTCTGCCGATCCACTGCCTTTAAGTGGAGTAAAACCTTTTCCATAATTAGTCCGCATCCAGAAGGCCACCATACGATCTGAGATCGCATGAAGGTCATCTGGGGAGGACTAAACTCGGAAAATTTTATTTTATTTTTGGTATTTTGTAGCTTCACTTAAAGGCACCGTCCACCCAAAATGGAGGTTGGCGAGATTATGATGGCATACTAGTGTGGGCCCCCCACACTAGGCAAACCACAAGCTTCGCCGCAAAAGACTGCTTTCGGTGCGAGAAATCCGCTCCGGAAGTAGCAAAGTAGGCAACCCACTTGCATGCTTTATCTCGCCTGCGCTTGTTGCAGAGGGTTCTCGAAACAGGGTTTTTTGGGGGTGGTTTCGCGGATTTTTGACTCCATGTTCGGAATCAGGGCTTTCAGAAGGCCTGAAGGCGACAAAAACATCGAATTCCAGATTACGGGTGGATGGTGCCTTCAAGTTCCGGATTTACTATCATGGACAATGCCATGGTTAAGAATCTATCCCGGAGCATAAGGGCAATTTTATATCTCCTGCAGTCCACCTTTTGCCTTCATTGTCTTTGGGTATCGCTTGTTAGAAATCGCGTCCCAGCGCCACATTTCTACACTTATACCGCTAAATGCGGGGTAGAGGAGCGAGTACCTCAATTGGGCACCGCCTCCTCGGACTGTTGCTCAGGGCTCCGGACCGTGCGAGGGCGCCGCAAAGGTCAATCAAGCGCTTGCCTTAACATCGCGAAGCAAGGCGATTAGGCTCGCACGCTCGCACGCTGTGTGGGGCGCGCCCGCTGGCACGGTCCCATAAAATCAAAATCTCATTCTGGGTCATTTTCTTCGCTCTTTTCGTATAGGAGGTGACTTTGAGCTTGTTTGATGATTGCTGCTCGCTAGCTCGCTTCTTCATTTATGTGAAAGGGTTACAGAATGTTTATACATTTACAGGGGACATTCTCGGTTGTATATGACAATTGACAAGATGAAATTTACAAACTTTACATTCACATCCACGCTTTAATCTATTATTTTGAACACTAACCACCTATAATAACATAAATAATGGCTTAGAATATAACTTGGTTCCAATATAGACTAGTAAAACGATAAATTTGTACAAGATCAGATTTTGTGAATATAACTGATTTAGATCTACATAATAGCTGTACATTATCAACGATAAACTGCATACAATTGGAAACTATGTGTTGGGTCAACATTCTCCTGTTCAAGAACTTCCAGCCTTGTGCGTTTGGCT